AAGCACTTCAGACAGTATTTATCCTCTGCCCTTTTTTAAGAATTTTCTCTCATTTGCAATCCCGATAATACAATTGTTGTTCTCTCTTTTTCCTAACACTTCAGAGATAAAGCAATCAAGCATTATGGATTGGTAGAGGTGAAAAAGAATATACTACCTGCAAGCACAATGGAAACCAGATCTCAAATTCATTTTAATAAGAAATTTCTGGCAGCAGACTGTGAGACTAAGTCCATAAAAAATTGCAATGATATAAGAATAAATGAACATATTGTAAAATAAATCTAATGAAACTCTGTGGCTGTTTCTGCCCTTTTAATCAAAGTTTAAGACAGCTCCAACAAAAGATGATGATGAAGTCACAAGTGATTTTTAAAGGAACTGGATCAAATGAAACTAAACTTGTACAGGGTTATTTTAGCTTGTGCAATCTGTTACTCTTGAAAGTCAGTGTGTAAAATTCTGAGTACATTTACTTGATTTTATAGGATTTCCCCCAGAAGAATCTTGCCATGATGTATGAGATGTATTACCCAGGAGTTCATCCAATCTTTATGTTTTTCTCTTTATTCTTTCTAGTTGGAGGATCTATTATGAGAACTGTAAACGAAGGCCCTAAAAAGATCTCTCATGTGTTGAAATAGTGTTCCTAGGGAAAATTCTCATAAGTTGAAGTCATTCAGAAAACAGCTGCAATTGTTACTTTGCTGAAATACGTCTACACTGCTGCACTGTGATCTGTCTTAGAGTGTCTGTGGACAAAATGTTACCATACAGCATGCCCTTTCTGTACTTTAGACCTGCTTGGAGCTGTAAGATCACTTTTCTTTATTGTTTAGTAAGTGTCTTTTAATGAAATGTACTGCTGTTATTATATAGGACTCAAGATCTAAATCACTATCCAATAAAAGAAAATTATTGAGTTGGATATCTAAAGTTACTACCCAGAGGCTACTCTGGTACAGTATTTATAAATCTCTAAACAGTTAGGTATAATTGTCTTTCTGGGTTTTGAAAGAAAGCCAAATAGAAGTTTTAGTTACAACTGAAGATAAATATTTTGTGTTGGGCCCTGTTCATCTGGTGGATAAAATAACAAGTAAAATTCCCACAATGTAAGACTGTTATAGAAAAAAACAAGAAACACAAAAAAACTAAATGGACTAGTCAATAGATGCTACCTGAAGAAGAAAGGATGGAAATGACAACAGAATGAAGGAAAGGAGAATTACTGGAGGCGTCCCAGCGTTGTTTTTTTCCTGTGTCTTGGAACAGTGAGTTGGATTTTTCTTCTGCAGGAGATCAAGGTGGAGCACTTTGCTTAGATAAGATGCAATTCTGGTAGGATCACTTATGATTCAAGATGGTCAGGCCAGAGGTCAAAAGTGTTGTTGCACTACTTATAGAAAGTCTGGATAATTAATCCTACCCAGCCCAAAAACCTGGGGATATTTTATTATAGAAGGAGACATTATCAAGTCTTTGTTTCTGTATCACCTGCGTGTGTATTAAGTTCAACTTGAACTAGTAATGAGAAAATCCTTTGTTGATATAAACCAGATTATTTCAAAGACATTTTTTCAGCAGATAACTTAATCCATTGGGTACTGGTAGCCCTATTGTTACAGAACTTTCTCTGTCACGAAGGCTTGCTGTCATGTGTCCACTCTCCTGTTCCTTCTACAAGATCTTTCCTCTCAGAGTGCACCTTGTTTGGAAAGGGTATGTTTGGATGGATACAGAGGGTTGGCTGGTGATGAATGCCTATGACTGGCAGTGACTTCTGTGTTAAAGTAGGTGATGAAGGTGGGGCTCTGGGAAAAAATTAATGAAATCCCCAAGTCTGTGGATTCTTTTTCTGCTACCAACTTAGAGCAAAGGAGTTATAGACAGAGCCCTGTACTTCAGCACTGGGAAATGATTATGGTTTATCTGATGGTTAAATACATTTGCATCCTGCTTTTTATGGCACACTTCTTGTACCAGTGTCATCTTTTGCCTCATGCTGGAGTGAAATAATCACAGGTACAAACTGGGAAGATCCTTATGCATTCAGTAATCTATCAATTAAATACTTTTTTTTTCTTTTTCAAAGACATAAACATAAATTATATATCAGGTTTTCATATGAGATTCCACTGTGTAGTGACTACATGATTATACATATACAGTACTACATATTTACTTAGAATAGCAAAGGTAAGGTTATACTGCTAAATCCCTCACCAAAAATCTTGCTGTTTATCCCATACATTTCTCAGATTGCTCACATATTTTGTTTTGTTTCTTCCCTGTCACAAGTCAACTGACATTCTGCCACACACCCAGATTTTCTAATGTCAATGTTGCTGATGATCAGTAACAGGAGTAACATAAAAGAACAGCACAGAAGATTCAAAGGATAGTGTTGATGTCTTAATCCAAAATCATACACTAAGATCTAGAAAAACTCAGATTGGCAATACTTAAGGTTTGTACCAGCTAATGTGTTCAGGATAATTATGTCAAGGAATGTACAAATGTAAAATGACAATTCTCTCTGTAAACAAAGGTGCTTAATTACCAATAAAAAGCCGTGAGATTGTTCTAGTATTCTGCTTGTTGACTAGCAGAAGTTGAATCACCTAGTTTATATAATTGTCATGATAGTTGTGTCCACCATATGTCAAAGATGCATTTCACAAACAAAAATGTCACATTGCATATAATTTCCATGAAGTTTTTGCTATCTAATGATCTAACTGCTTCTGACAGTCTAATCATTGTATTCAAGGTCTTTCAAGAAAATTTACTGCACTGAAAGGAACACAATCAATTCAGGAGTTGTGGATATCATAAGCAGAGAATGTACTGGGAAGGTAATTATCTTCTGAAGCCACTGGGCTTACAAGAACCCCTCCTTAGTCAGTGCTCTCAACTAAAATAGGCTGCTAGTTACCTGCCTTATGTTAATGCCCTGTTTCCCCAGAAAAGCTACAGAAAGAGTCACCTCTGTTTTTTAATGTGCAGACTGGTACTTACCTGAAGAAAATTTCTTGGAATGCATTAACCTATTGTGCCTCTGCTTCTCTGCATCAGCAATAATGAATAGGCCTAAAGGGATTTGGACCATGGCCAGTGTACACTTCCTGACCTATAGGGCTATTGCTGCAGCAGCAACCTGGGTATTACAGATTCATAAAACAATTCAGTCTGGAAGAGACATGGGAGGGGCTCTAGTTTGATTTCCTGTTCAAAGCAGGATCAACTGTAAGGTCAGATCAGCTTCTTTGAGGCTTTATGCAGTCAGGTCTTGAATACCTCTAAGGATGGAGAGTGAAAAATGACAGGTGTTCATGGAGTGCACAAGACCCATATTGTTAGATTTTTCCATTCTCATTGAGGGATGGTCTAGGATCCTGGGTACTCCCAGAGGTAAAACACAACAGTCAAGTGCTGGAAATGTCTCTGAGTTCTGACCAAAGACAGAAGGAAATTCTCTCAGACTGCTCATGCTCAAGAGTAGATTCTATTTCTTGATGAGTTTAATTATATGTGTGATAGGAGACTGTGAGAGGTCCCTCAAAGAACAGCCACTAGCCTGGCAGTGAAAGTAGAGATCTGGTTTTGAGATACAGAATTTCAAATTCCAGGTCTAAATCAGCAAAACAGGGAACCTGCATGACTGTCTTCCACTTCAGCAGTGAGTTTCCTAATCATGACTATAAGTTATCATACTGTGAGCAAGTTAGTCTTACAAATTTATGAGGAAAAAACTCTAAAATATTTGGAGTTGTATTGTTTTCAGGCCACAGACTTAAAACTTCGAACAACCACAGGATTGAAAAAAACCAGTTCCTTTCTCTTCTTCTTAAATCTACTTTTTATCCAGAGAACTCTCCAATTTGACTTTGAGAAATTAAAACTTTCAGTTTCATGATAGAATTTAATTTCAGCATTAAATTACACTGTTTTATTGCTGAGTCTAAGAAAGAATTTTCCAAGTTCAAGTTTCCATACTCAAGAAGTTACACTGTTGCCTCTGATTTTTGGCTCTTAATTCCTATTTCCATATTAGAATGTAAAGAGGAAAACCTGAACTTAATCTTAGTTCTCACAGTCCTTGAGGGAAAACTATCTCTAGGTAAGGCTCACGGGCAAACTGCAGACCAAAGCACTACCCTTTCTACACCTACATTTATAGAAGAGCTAGATCCAGTGGGAATATTTACTGCAGCAGTTAATAGGTTTATCAAAGGTAGGACTTGAGCTGCATAAGCTGCAAGACCCTTCAGGGATGAGAAGATGATTGTTTTTACACTGATGGTCTTTGCCAGGGTGCTTATGACTGCTTTGCAGCTGCTTTGCACGGGCACAGATGGTGTAAAATAGCCTTTAGCTACCTATGAATCAGTCCCCTACTCTCAGAAAAGACTGAAGGATTTTGTTCAACGTCCTTAAATGGGATGAGTACGTGTCAAACCATGGGAAGAAATCAGTTTTGAATTAATTCTAAGTGGTTTCTTGAGCAAGAAGGCACCAGAGCTGTAAAGAAAATTTAAAATTCTTGTCTTTTTTATTTTATTTTTTTGGCTTGTATTACTCAAACTTGTATTTTCTCTCTGGTTGCAATGTTTTTTACATAAGAAAGAAATCTCATTAGACAGAAACTTCAGGTATTCCAAAGTGAGTATAAGTTATCATTGGCTATAGAACAGCAATTGCCCATGTAAGAAAGCCACAGTGAGAAAGTGGTGAATTTATGTATCTTCTAGGAAAATGTCAAAATGAGAAAAAAACGCCAGTTTCATGTTCATTCATTTTTCCTCTAAAAAATGTGCTTTGTGATGTAGCAGAGAAACTGTGTGACTGTCCCTTTAAAAGCCATCATACCAATCAGCAGGTTTAACTGTCAAGCAAGCTGATGTAGGGCTCTTTGAATTACTGAGTGAGGGATATTCTTCCTGCCAGGTCCTGTCCCCTGTAGGCACTGCAGAGAAGTATTATAGGGCAGTCCTTACCTTGGGAATTAGCCTGCAAGACCCCAATGCTGTCATCAAACTGCATAGATTTGATGTTGAGTGACGCCAAGATGCATTCCTTGTCCTGCAGCGAAGCATCATCAATATTATTCTGATTGGCTGACAGGATAACGCACATGTCGCAGAGGTTGATGTTGACAGCCCTTAAATCAGCCCGACTTAATGGTGTACCCTTCGGCACGGAGGGAAAAAAAAAAAGGAGGGGGGTGCAGAAGAGGGGAAAAAAAGAAAAACAAATTAAAGATTGAGAAGGAGCTTTGGGAAATTATTTAACAAGTATCTTTTTTATGCTCTGACATTAAGCTGGTCTAACTATGTGCCAGGGAATAGGAGATGTGTGCTAATCTAAAGGGTAGTTGGTGCTGATGGCAGCATTTTAGGTTCAGTCTCAATACTCAGTCAAGCTATTACTAACAAACAAGAAACAGGAATAATGCCAGCATTCTACATCTCATCGGTGACTTGAAATTGTCTTGATTTAAGTTGCTATCATGTGGCAACCTCTGGCTCTGTGAATATAAGAAGGGGGTTGTTTTAAATGTCTATTTATCTACTACCAAGTCACAATGGTCTTGGGCAAAAGAAGGGCAATTTAAACAGGAAAGCATTATGTGTCCTGCACATTTGAAATGCAATCAGGATAAAGCTATTTTTTTCTACCTAAAGCAATACACAGAAAAGGTTAATCCTTTTCGAAGCACGCTTTTGGTGCTTCTAGAAGGAAAACACACTGATCTTCAAAGCTGTGTGATTAAACTCTTTGAAACAGAAACAAGACTTTATCCTAGTGGGCACAAGTCATGAAACATTCCCTGCTCCACAATTCTCAATCAGAGAATGCAATTGTTAAAATGAAATGTCGTGGTAGTCTATGGATTTTTTTTCATAGTTAACAAAACTGAGATATGACACTTAATATGTTTTGTTGAAAGATAGCACTTGCCTTTCACACCCAACAGTCCACAACAGAATATTAATTCTATGTCACAGGGGCTGCAAGTTCCAAGGAAAAAAGAGATTTTTTTTTTTAAATTGAAACTAGATTCTGCTTTGCTGCCTCACATGTTTTGGTACCCAAAGACCCTAATGATGAGGAGACATAACTGTCCCCTTGTCACACAGTGACTTTCATAGAGCCAAGTCAAGACCCTACTCTTCCATCCCCTGATCATTCATGGTGAACACCTCCTGAACTCCACTGAGAGTATTCAATGCAAAAGTGAATTTAAAATGTGCACAGTGAAGAAGGAGCTCAATTCTTATTCAGTGACTGCCATATAGTCTCAGATACCATCTTAATTATTCCATGTTACTTCCATTAATTTAAGGCATGAAACCTTGTGAAAAACAGTATATATCAAACAGGTATGATTTCATTATAAACTACTCAAAAGTTTGGATATGATTATTCCTGCCACCTTAATCCTGCCCTTTGTGTCTGTACTGTGCACCAAGTGAAGCAGGATTCCTGTGGGGAAAAATAATATGCAATCATGTAATTAATTAAAGGCTTTGTCTTAATGATTTTATGCAAAGGGACAGAATTAAGGCTGCCTGAGGATATTTAAAATTGGCATTTGCCTACTTTTTTAAGAGTTTACTCAGCAGCTTAAAGGCCTCCTTTAATACAGACTTCAAATTACATGTCCACTTTTCTTTTTCAAACCAGAACAAATTTTTTTATATTCAGCTGTAACCACATCTCCATCAGATATCAGCAGCAAGTTTTACCTCGTGAACCAAAGCACAGAGAAGCAGGAAGTGAGTTTGAGTGACCTCCCTTTAACACGATTCCTACCAGTATAATCTCAGAAATTTTAGTAGATTATTTAATTAGTAGAATTAGATCAGAATAATGCTGCTATTTTTAACTTTATACCATTTTATTTTGAACCGGATAGGCTGAGGAAAAAAAATTGGAAAAAGCAGTAATGAAGTCTTTGTGGTCTTCAGCACCCTTGATTACTGTGTCAGATACAATTCTTTTATATAATTCTGTATTTTTAAAGAGGCATTGACTAACTATTTAAGGTGTTTAAGTCAAAATTAGTCTGAAACTATTCTACATTTGGATGTAAACTGGGGAAAGTAAAGGTGGTGCATATTTCCTTAATGCCTCTTCAGAAGTCAGAATTGAAACTTAACAAAATGCATTATAATAATGGATACACATTATATATTGGAAGTAGTAGCTGGATTATATTCGGCTCCATAGTTCAACAGTATTCTGATTCCATAGTCTTTAGCCTTCACAGTGACTGGAATTAAAAGGGATTGGCAGAAAGAGGAAGATATTAACTAACCAAATCTGATACTGACACTATTTTTGTGACAGCAAAGAATCTTCTGACACCATCTGTTGGATCAGGTTACAGAAAAAAGCCAAGGGCTAACACTAAAACTGCATTTACAGTAACAAAGACCTGCAGTCTGAAGTGAAGACAGTCCTTTCATTCTATAGCTAATATTCCAAATTATTCAGTTAAGGTTACATCCATCATTGATTTATGTATTTTTACTGCTGAAACATAATTATTAAGAACTAGTAAACTCATAATTTTTCATTCTGGAAAAAACTATCTAAATTAACTTTACTCTGTAACATACAGAGCATTCTCTTTCATACTTATACCATGAGCTGTTTTCCCTCCTGCCTGTCATTTATAGCTAGGGCCATCTAAGATCACTAGCTTGGAGGGCTTCATTATTAGTCCTGGAGCTCTTGATTCTACATTTTGGGCACATGAGTGAATGATAACGATATATAGGAGAAAAAGGACTTTTGAACTGTGGTTTTAGTGGTTGGACCTACTAAAATCAATAGGAGCTTTCCATCGATTTAAAAAGGGTCAGGGTTTTGTTGTACACTTTCATACATGAGTACAGCAGGACTCTGAACTGAAATGCTATGGCACTGTTCCTCATAAAGCAGGCCAGTCCACCAAAGTGTTTAAGAATACAGATAGATATTATGTAGATAAACTATATTTTTTTCAAAGGTTTTGTGGGTAAAAATACATAAATAATGTCATAAATAACTACTGTCATTCTGTCAGGGAAATCACAACATCAGAACTGGCTACACGCAGTGCACTGCAGTCAATGTTCAATACATAACACAGCCAATACATCTGATAGCAGCTGAAATTCATCCGATGAGGATGACAGTGAACCAAACACTACGGCAAATATCTTCTAATAAGGTCTCACAGGGCTCTGTTTTCATAGACAAGTAAAGGCAAAAAGCTAAGTCCTCAGGCCTATAAGTAGAGAAAAGTAAAAAAGACTAAGATCAAAGTCAATACGAATCTGTCCAGTTGGTGTCCTAAATAACAAAGTATCAATAATATGGCTTTTGAACTTACAGGCAAGATTGAAACCTTGGGGAAGTTATGCAGTGTCTCCCATTCCCTTCTCAGGTATTCAAGTGAACCCACAAACACAATGTGCTTGAGTTCATGGTAGTGAAAGTTGCTGGCTCGTAATGGCATCACTAAATTTCTTAATCCAATCAAAGCAGATTTAACATCCCCAAATATGCAAACGACTACATGCCCACTTAAAACTGTCATCGCTGCTTCACTTCGAGTCTAAAAAAAAAACAAACAAAACAAAACAAAAGACAAGGGAAAAATGAAACAAAGGGAATCTTAAATCATATATTGAATTTAAAATCAGGAAAAATACAACTGTCAATATTGTTCATGCACAAAGAAGCAGTTTGATAACAGCTGTTCATTTTACCCTTATTTATCCTTCATTAAATATGTTCAGAAGAAGAAAATGTCATTCTTGTTTGCAAATCTTTTGGCATTTGGGAAGACATTGTATTGGACCAAATTCTAGTCCTGTGTAAGTTTCTACACATATGGATTGTGGCTCTGGTTATAATCAAAGCACTATGGGTTTAGCTAAGAACAGAATTTGACCTACTATATATTTAACCAATAGAAGGACTATAGAAAAGAGATGCAAACCCACACCCTAGCTGATGAATCACTGGTTGAGTTTTTTCAGGACCAATTTGAAAAGGAAAATGTGAAAGCCCAATGGTCATAGTAGCGCTTCGTGGTGTTACCCAGATATTGTGAATTGAGGACCACAGCCTCTTACAGACAAAGTTCTTATTTTAGGACAAGCTGCTGTTACCCTGAGAAGCAACCAAAGAATGCTCTACACTGCTCTCTTTTACTATGGATGCCCGCTATAATCCACAGAGCTTCTCTCGGTAAGAAAAAAATAGTGCAAGGTTGTGACCAACACTAAATTTTCAGCCCAATGGGACTTCCTGAGCTGTTGAACAGATAGAAGCAAAAAGGACTAATGGAGAATGTTTAAAAGATATCCAGAATTATCTTACTGTCTCAATGACAAGAATAAATTTTTGCACTAATTTCATCATTTGTCAGGTCAGTCAAGCATGCAACTCAAACACCAAGATGATTAAATAAAATCATGAGAAAAAAATGACCTTAAGTTCTGAAGCCAGTCTTAGCATTGTTGTACTCCTTCAAGTAGCTGGAGATCCACTGATAACATATTGCCAAGAAGTTTTACACTCACTACCATTAGACAGAAGTTTTGCCAATGAATAAAACTAAGCCAGTGGTGAACTGTAAAATTTTCCTCTTACTTATCCATAGTATATGTCCTTTTTCTAAATCATGGAAGTATGGTGATTTGCAATACAGATTGGAATATGCAGCAGATATGCTCACTATGCAAGAAGAATGGGAACTCTGATTAGAAGTTTTCTCATCAGTTAAAAAATGTACGAGTTTTCAATTTCTCCAGGGCAATTACATTGACTTTCATACAGCTTGACCAAGAGAGTCGTCTTGGCCCTTCAAACAGAAGACATGAACAAATACTCAAGTGAACCATGTAAGTTGTCCCATGCCTCTGTCAAAAGGTCTGGAATACCCAGATTTTACAAGACAGAGAACAAGTCTTGAATGCAATTACACAAAAAATGTCAGTCTATAGTCACTGATCTGTATGTACATTTGACTGTATAGCAAAAAATCCTCCTTGATACAAGTTACTGCTGGAACGTCACAAAGTCAAAACAGACCTTGGGTAGAAAAACGAATTATTTTCTGATTGAGGCATCATCAAGTGTCAATTAGGAGACAACCTGGGAAATCCCATCATCTTCAAATTATGCACTAATTTGTACTTGTGTAGTCTCTAAGGACAGAATAAAATTTGCATGGATATGAATGTAGACATAAATTGTGGACTGCGAGTTTGGAAAGGTGTAGGGAAGCATTTTGCTGGTAGTGGCTTTATTGGTGATGATGCATGAAGCAGAAAGAACTTGGATGGACTTGTGGATTCACAGGCTGGTAGTACAAAAAACTAACATGGTATAACGGAGAGATGATGAATGATGCACTCCTCAGCACCATTTTTGAATGACCACTTTTCTAAGTGGGACTACATGTAAAGTTTGTCAGCTAAAATGTGCTTTATAGCATGAAGGCAGATTTCTATCTCTGTCTATTACAAAGTATTGTACAGCAGGGCTGGCCCTGCTTGCTTGTTGATTACATATAAATGCATATTATTTAAAACTCCATCTCAGAGCTCCATCTCTAGAATCTGGAATTTACTTGCTTGACTGTTTAGACACCAATATTGTAATTCCAGGCAATGTCACAGTTATTACAGAAACCCCTGAAGAGAACTAGAGACAAGCTTTTAACCCCCAACAGAATAACTGGGGCTGTCACCATCGCTGGCTACACCATGCCACAGTGCAGGAAAATCTAACAGAGCAGGCTCAGGAAAAGCTTTATGAAGTGCGACAAAGTGAAGATCCACCAGGGAGTTCATTTCAAATATAATCAGTTTTGTGTATGAGATCTGGAGTTAGTTGCTTGCTACTCTTAGGTATGAGTACATGAACACAAATGGCACAAACTTGCAAAATAGACTGTGATAGGCCTTCTAATTACTTTTAATTACTTGAGTCAGTTTGATGGTTTTCCCAGTTAATAAAATGAAACAAACATATAATAGGTTCACTTTAACATGCTAGAAAGTCAGAGTAGTAGCACTACTTGCTCTGGCCTATTTGGGCATCTTGAAATATTGGGAATTGAGAAGGAAGTTCTAAGAGAGCAAAATTAATAAATAATCAATTATAATAATTAGTAAAACATCAATAAATAAGAGACAACCCAAAGCAACACTTGCCTGTATTAGAATCAATACTGACTTCTGTAAAAAGATAAATGTGCTATGTAAATCCCATCTACATATTTCCTATCTTAATTCTCTAAAGATTTAAACCAGATATGCAAATTTCAGCTTATGAAAAATGAACTCTCTATTTTGGACAAATTTTTATTATTGCGCGTGGCATAAAGATATATGTAATCATGAAGCTTTAACCAAAATTGGTTTCATTATGCTGTGCTTCTGATTTCAATATGCTGGATTACATAATAGTAGAGATTAATTTCTTAATCCATTATACACCAGTTCTGTGCTTCAACTAACCTCTTTTGAAACACAACTTATCATCAATACCTACCAAAATGACCTTTTCAATGTCCTTGGCTGGACACCAATGAAACATCCCTGTAGAGTCATATTTTTTCACGTTGGCATCCATATTGTCAATCTGCTCATTGCCAGGAATTAACAAGGGGTCATGCCTGGGGAAAAACAAGTTGAGGACAACATAAATGGAAAATATTATGAATTATGGATGGAAAAATATCCCAAGAGTTGTGTATGAAGAGGGGTAAAAGTAAAAAAATGAAATGTATTTGCACTTTAACATGCTTTCAATGAGGACATTTTTAAACAAAAACTGTATAGAAAAGTTAATTTCTAAATTTTGGGTGCAGTTTCAAAGATTTTCTATACTCTTTCTATACCAATAACCATTTAATTTTAAAAGGGTTTTCTGACACCATCATGATCCATAAAAGTTTTTTTTTTTTCTCTCCAGGCCCACCCCTCTGAAATAAATATCAGAGCTGCTATAGGCATCTGCAATGAAGTAGAAGGGATAGGAACAGAGCCCCATGCTGACTGACTGGCACAAGTATGGAAAGCCAATTACTTGCTTTTACCGCATACAACTTCTGACGTGATGCTCTTCACAGTAAAAGCTTTAACAGGCTGCACTTTAAATATTTTAGCAATTTGCCCAATCATATTTTGCTTTCCCAAACTGAAGCCCTTTAAAGATTCAACAGTATGTCATTTTGGAGCACACTGACTAACAAATGCCCACATCTGGAATACATGATTTTAATACCAAACAACAATGTCCATTTGCTCTGACAACTCTACCTGTGATAACCTTCTAAGTGTTTTTGCAGCAAGATTTTAAAGCACACGGCTTCTCAAAGGAGAAGCAAATGAAAGACATTTTTATAAACTTGCTTTCCAGCTATATAACCACATCTAAGCACAGATACATACAGGTTCTTTAATTTATATGCTAAAATCAAACATTAAGCTAAGTATTAAGTGACTCCAACACTCTCAGATGCTAGTGAAGACCCCTAAGTGACTGCATTATACAATAGCATTAGGAGAATTGTGTTCACAAGGCACAGGTTAAACTGATCCTCAAATCTTACATTTAAGGAGGGAATTGAGTTTTGTCTGGAAAGCTACAGTCTTTACCTCAGGTTTTTATCATGAATGCTTGAAATATGCTGATATAGAATTGTAACATTTCAAGGAAGAAAATATCTGCAATGTAGGAATATGCTAAGTACTCTGAGACAGGTATCCAAATTTTTAAGAAGTTTGCCTTTTAAAGCCCGTTAAAGAGAAGCCCATATTGTCTGAGCTCTTAAAACTGCAAAGTTTTCTGCTTTTAAAGCATTTGAGCCAGCATACTGTGGTAAGAACCTCTATTCTGTATCATCTACTAAAGCAGACTGTGAACACAGTGTAAGATATAGGTTAATTTACCCTGAATATAGCACGGTAAATTACCATGCAACCAACAGTTATATTTGCATGCCTGAGAAAGGTATAATCTTGCATTCCGTCAAGGTGATTAATTAGTGTAATTTTATAATCACTGATTACAGACCCATCGAAATCACTGTAAAATTCTCAAACAGGGTCAAACACATTTCATTCAAACAGGGTCAACTCCAAAGAAAGTTCGTCAAAAACGTTGAGAAACTATTAATACAATGTTCCACTTAAACAAGAATCTTTTGATGCTTTAAGACAATCAATGCACTCACTACATGGCAAAGGCATAAGTCAGACTCATCTGGAAAAAAGAAACACTATGTTTTCAAAGTTGAAACTGGCAGCAGAGAAGCCTCTAGGGGATTACCTGGAGTCTCTGACCCTATTCCAGGTTTAATAATGACAGGCCTTGCATAAGTGTGCCATCTCTCTTGTAGGAAGCCGAGATGAAAAAGCTATACCAAAGGGGTCTATTCTGAGGGTTTCGTTGAGTTTTTTGTTGGTTTTTTTTGTTTGTTTGTTTTTTTAATTTCTAGAAAAATATCTGGACTCTACATTCTCTTACTCCATTCATCAGCAACCTGCAGCCATGGTAGTTTGAACTGAGAGCTAACTGTGATACTGTTTATCGGGCATTCCCCATCTTCTCATAGTTGCATGTGGTACAATAAGGTCTGCAACTGTGAACGCAGTAACATTCCAAGGTTGTCCTAATGTTCAGACAACATTTAGTTGTACCCTGTCCTAGCTATTTTTTCCAATGGAATGGGTCAGCTACATGTTTCAAAATAAGAAAGTTTGCCAAAAGATTAGGAATCTTCAGGAGTTTCCACTGAGAAATGTTTTCCTTTCTGTTGCTTCATGGTTTATGGTTTTTTACCCCCAATACTTTCACAAAACATTTCTTCATGAGTTTTCCTAGAAGAGCACTGAAACAAAAGCAAAGTTCACTGACAAAATCACCTTCTTTTCCTTTCAGAAATCAAATGCATATAAAAAGGAATTTTCTTTTTCCCCCATCCTTTATCAGAGAAACTATAATAAAGCAATTTAAAAAATGCCTCATTCTAATTTTCTAATCAGTGTTTCTTTTCTGCTCTGAGATATAAAACTAAATAGATCATCTGAAGCTTTAACACACATGAGTACTTAGCAATACTCTAATCTCAGTCACAAACACAATTCACAAAAATAATACAAATTGAAAGGAATGTTATAACAAAGCAGATGGTAACAGATATTTGATATTTAATTATGGTCAAATGCCTTGAGGTTTGAGACAATTTTTAGAGTATGAGTGCTCAAAGGCTAGTATAGTTCTTTTGGGCTTTGCGTCCTAAAAGGAATATTCAAAGTAGCTTGTGGCAAAGGTTTACTAGAATAACTTAGATTTAAAACATAAGTGGGTTATGAAAAGGAAAAAGACTATGAATTGTCAGATATAACTCCCTGTTGAAGTTTTAGGTAACAAATTGTGATTTTTTTTTAAAAAAGCCTTAGCATTTTTTTGCCGTTTTGTTGGGTTTTTTTTAATCAATACATGCACCTATTCACAGTATCATAAACTGTTTGGATTCTTTGCTTCACTGCTTGGAGTATAGCAAGGGGAAACTTAAAGGAGGCAAACAGGATGGGACACACAACAGGAAAGTATGCTAAGAGATACTACTATAGTACTTTTACTCTAGGAGAATGGATTATTGCCTGAGGAAACTGTGATAAGACTTAACCACACTGTGTTTCAGAATCTGTGGGGTTTTACATGTTAAGTGTGTTTATTAAATTTAAATCTTCTGGGCTAAGATATTATTTTAATCTCTCTAATCAATGTTCATTCATTCTCAGTAAAGTGATTCCTTAAGATGTCTATGGAGGTTGAAAACTCTTTGCTACTAAGGTCCAACTTTGTCCTCAGATGTTAGAAGATACTTACGTACTTAAAACCAGAATTGATCAGAACAGTAATAAAATATTATTACTACTTTGGACACATACATCCTCATTAATCTGATGATCTAAACCTGTTTGGCAAATACTAAAAATTAATTAAGACAGACATACAGAGAGGCCAAGGCTGTCAAATCTGCCTAAGGCGATTGGACATCCTCTTCCCATTAAAATTTATATTACACAAAGCATTACAGTTGTTGCCCTTACAGCCAAATCATGGACTGAATGTTTCTAGAGCCTCTCTGCCTCCTCATCCTTGAAGATGGCCCTATCAAGCTGTGCTTGAGTCACACTGGCAGGTTACTGTAGAAATGCTTATATTTGTGCTGAATTATTATGGTCTCCCAGGCTGTAAAGTCATCTGCTTCAAAAATTCAAATCATAGGCAGAAAAACACCTAACAATTTAATCCATACTCTTTGTTTTAATTGAGATGATAGGTTTTGTTGTTTGCAATGACCAAAGCATTTGGTCATTCCATCTAGGAAAAGACAGGCATGTATAGCCTGTATGGGAGGAAAGGAAGAAAAGTTAAATTTGCTTCATCCATAACCCCAGTTTAAAAATAGCTTCCCTGGTTCTTATGGCAGATATTACATACGCATGACTTAAAATGAAGAGCAAAGTACCATCTTTTCAAGGTTTTGAAGAGCATATAATGCCACTTATGTGCAATTAAACTTGAAAACGACGCTAAATGCCATGCTACAGCTGCAACCCCAAAAAGCCTGCCTGGAAGAAAACAGCCTAAAGCAAAACCATAAATCCCACTGCCAGCAAACCTACTGCAAGGAAGTCAGCATTACATTTTAAAGAGAACTGTTTTCCTAGAACACATTTATAACTACTGCAAAATTGGAGGTTTTGAGCCTGAAACTTTTGAGTACTGACTGGGGATGGACAGAACTGAAAAGACCATTCCAGACTAAATGGCTGCCTCATTAAATTACTATTGTTTAGCATAACCTTGTATTTTGTCACCCTTGTCTTAACCCTCTTGCTATTTATATGCAATGAGCAACGTACCCTCATTGACCTGCAGTGGAACTACTCAATGTGCTGAGCACTGAGAACAAGAACACTATACAACCAGTAGGGAGGACCCTGGTGCTGTTTAAAAATAAACTGTAGTCTGATAGTCTTTACACATTAGTAAGACAATGTTTTAGCTTCTTTTTATTCTGCCCTCCAATAAAATTCTCCTTATATAAAGTCAAGAGGAAAACACACCTGGGAAAAAAACACAACTCTCTAATCTGTGTTTGTTAAAATCTGCAATTATGCCTTTCTCAGGTAGATATAATGTATCTGGATTTTGCACACGAAAAGATGTTTAGTAGTCTTCTGCTCAAGATTCAGGGTCTTGAAACTCACGCTGCCTGTGGTTCAGGAATTTTGAGTTTTCCTACCTGAGTTATGTGGATGTATCTTTGCAAGAATGTGTACACACATACTTAATTTTAGGAGGAAGAAGAGGGTTTGCTGAAGGTAAAATAGGACTTGAAGACGCTAGAGAATGTCTCATGTCTTTAAAATTTCTCCTACAACTACCCTAACAAATTGTGGCAATTAACATGCTGTTAGTGTTAGATGTAAGCAGCCAGTGCAGGTGCTAATAATTGAAAAAGCATTTAGAGCTTTTACACCCTGGCTGAATATTTCATGATGTGCTGCATGTTTCACTATTTACTCAGTGGGCCTCTGTCACTTCAATCTTCTCTGATTGCTTTGACTGGTGCTATAAAGCTCAACCAAGACA